GGCAGAGGCCGTGGTTCGGGAGCTCGCACGGACCAACCCTCTGGCTCCCAACAAAATGCCGGCGGCGCAGTGCAAGCCGAGATAAGCCAGGAGACAGGGACAGCTCCATTACGGGGAGTGATTAACACAATCGTAGGTGGATTCGCTGGGGGAGGCGCCAGCAGCTCGGCCCGGAAGAGACACCTACGGAATATCAACTGCATCCACTCAACCACCTCGGCCTCGCACCAGAGCTCACCGCCGATCTCTTTCTCTGACGAGGACTACGCTGGTGTCAGCCCTAACCAAGATGATCCCATGGTTATCATCGTGGAAGTTGCCAACTGGGAAGTACAGAAGACACTCATTGACCAAGGGAGCTCGGCCGACGTCCTATACTGGCCGACGTTCCTCAGGTTAGACATCCCCCATTCTCTCATCCAACCTCACACGGAGCCCCTAGTCGGTTTCGCAGGAGAGTGAGTTCACACTCGGGGATTCGTAGACCTACTAACGACCTTCGGAGCACCTCCAGACACAAGACGAGTCATGGTTCGGTACCTCTTCGTGGAAGCCAACACTTCCTATAACATAATCATCGGGAGGCCAACCTTGAATCAACTCGGAGCAGTAGTGTCCAGCCCACACCTCACCATGAAATTCCCAGGGAATGACGGTAAAATCATCTCCGTCAAAGCAAATCAGAAGACAGCTCGGTAGTGCTACACCGAGAGCCTGAAGATCTCCTCAACCAGCAAACAAAGCAAGGGGGATCCCCCCACCGTAGCTCACATCACCCGCAGGGAGGCCACTGATCTTGGGCCAAGGACCGATCCCCGTAGTCTTCCTTAAATTTCATCTCAATTAATTTTGTATGAACGAGTCGTGCACTCTTTTCCCGCCTCAGTCTTTGACTGAGAGGGTTTTTAACGAGGCACACAGATATATCTAATAAAATGACTCATTTCGCTCAATCCATATCCTTATTTTATGTTTTAATAGAAGACGAGATCGGTCCAACCTCTCAACACTCTCATTTAAGGTCGAGTCCGAACCTTAATAAAATCGTTTTACGCCAATTTGAGGTCGATTACGAACCTCATTAAAGTCTGAGGTCGAATACGAATCTCAACACTCTCATTTAAGGTCGAGATCGAACCTTAATAAAATCGTTTTATGCCAATTTGAGGTCGAGTACGAACCTCATTAAAGTCTGAGGTCGAATATGAATCTCAACACTCTCATTTAAGGTCGAGATCGAACCTTAATAAAATCGTTTTATGCCAATTTGAGGTCGAGTACGAACCTCATTAAAGTCTGAGGTCGAATATGAATCTCAACACTCTCATTTAAGGTCGAGACTGAACCTTAATAAAATCGTTTTACGCCAATTTGAGGTCGAGTACGAACCTCATTAAAGTCTGAGGTCGAATACGAATCTCTAAATTCTGTCGCTAAAAAAATAAAATTTCTTATTTAGCGACCGAAATAGCGACCGATTTTCTAGCGACGACTTATTTTGGTCTCTAAATCGGTCTCTATTTTGATTATTCATAATCGGTCGCTAAATCAGTCGCTAAATAGCGACTGATAAATTTCGATCGCTAATTTCGGTCGATATTTTGCAATTTTCTAGTAGTGTCCTAAAACTCAAAATAAAGAAATTATGTTGTTTATTTTAAATCTAAATCCTTATGATCGATTTTGTTTTTGATTATCTCTAAAAAAATCTCATACTAATGAAATATGTGTACATTTTATAAAATCTATAGTTCTCATTTTCACATAATGTGGAACTTTGATTGCACTTTCAACAATCTTTCTCTCAAATAAAAGACCATAGTTAAACCTTTCTTTCAGCAGATAAACCACACAAGTATTTCATAGTGACCCTCACTTTTCCACAGTTAATTCATGGAAATAAGACACGCACTTGACCTCCATATTACTAAGAAGACCTGCATCTCCATATATGAACTCATCGTTAGAAGCCACCAAATCTATCATACTTGTTCAAGTTGGAGTTAGTTCTCCATTAGCCTTGTTATCACTTCTTCCCGTTCATCAGGATTCAACATACAGATTCTTTTCATTCATCTCATGGGTTTAGTCTATCTCCATTCATCTTATGGGTTCAATCTATTTTCATTAGTCTAATGAGTTCAGTCTGTTCTATTTTATACAACTTAATTGTAGTGTCCTAGGTCATTATATATATGTGTGTGTGTGTGTGTATTTTGGGAGTCCTTTCTAAGTGCACGTCACAAAGAGAGAAAGCATGAGAGTGTGCAACATAGAGAGAGAGAGCATAAGAACAAAGTGTTCAGTGTGAGCATGGAGAGTCAAGAAAAAAGATACATAGAAAAGAAAGGAGATCCCATTAGAGAGATTAAGGGATTTCTGAGAAGAACAAAAGTTATTTTATTGTAAAGACTTGATCTTGTTTTCAAATGGTGAAATCAGCTCTCTCCTATAGATGTTAGTCAAATTGTTTGAACCACGTAAATTTGTTGTGTTTTCTTCTCTTAATATTTTTAAAACCAATAATTACCATAAAAAATATATTATGAAATAAAGTTATAAAAGATAAAATAGAAATGTGAGTGCTTTTATTTATAGAGCTTATTATCTATAAAACACTTTCTAGCTTTATAATAAACTAATGACAACTAAGTAATATTTTTAACAAACTAGTCTTAATGCCACCTTTGTAAGGTAATAAGTGCTATAACAACAATCACCTTGAATTAATAACAAACAACAAAAAATACTCCTTTCGATCTTTATTATTATAAGACAATTTAGAAGAAATGATAGTGTTTTTTATAAAGTATTTTATAATTTATATAAAACATTAATTTTATTCTTTATCTTTTGCTTTTATTAAGATTGTGAAAACATGTGTTATTTCTATTGTTAGATAATGAGAAGACAATTTAAGAAATAAATGTTGTCTCATTTTTTAAATTTGGAAGACAACACATTAGTATATAAATATTTTTTATTTCAAAAAGATGTATTATAATGTATGCAGAGTTTTAAAAACCGACTCGAACCGGTTGAATCGAAAATCGATGGTCTAACAAGTTTGAGTCTTGAGTTGAATCGATTATGCATTCGACTCATTTCAAATCGGAGTGAATCGATCAATTTTTTTATTAGTGAACCGATGAGTCAAATAAATTCAACCACAAATTTTTTTTTTTTTTTGAAGGAATCACAAATCACAAAAATAACCTTGAGAATTGAATCATGTCCATGGAAGAGCAAAGAGTCTTATCACACATAACAATCACCACTTGTTCTAATATATTTGTTTGTTATATATGTAGCTTAAATATCTTTTATAGTACATTATTAATTTTAAATTATATATTTAAGAATATAATATCTATATAGATATTATATATATTATTTTTTTATATCAATTACAAAATATTAAATAGGTAAATATTATTTATATTTTTAATTTGTATTAATATATAATTTAACATATAATTTTTTATGTATTTTTTATACAAAATAAAAATAAAAATAATTTTAAGTAAGATAAAAATTGAATTTAAAATAATA